GGTGGTGGTGTATGAGACTAAATTGTATTGACTGGGGCTGCACAAATACGACTTTTACAGACACATCAAAGTAGCTGTTGGACTGTCTTCCCTATAAAGTGTTGTGATTAGAGAGATGGCATACTTTGAAATGTCCGCTTGGATATAGAATATCTTGTCAACAGGATGCTTTGCAGATTAGTTGAAACAACAAACGGCACCATCGCCATTATTGTGTAAATGTGTAGCTGACTGAATTTGAGTGGCCTGATGTAGTGTTGGACCCAAACTGGTATTGGCATTGGTGCGTCCCCAATTCTAACCCTCGTATAGGTCTTTAGGGATAGAGGAAATGCTCAGCTGAATGTATTGTGGTCCAGTATGTTGAACAAAATAAAAATACCTGTGAGGGTGTGCTTGTTAAAATATTCATCCTGATGTGAAATTGAAAGGCCTCCATCAAATTCTGACACTCCTGCTTCATGTACTGATTTCTACTTTGTTTCTTTTGTCTTGGCTACACACTTTGCTCCATCAGGTTGCCTGTGTTGCTGGTGGGGGGAATCTGGCCTCCATCCACACCAAAGACCACCACGACTTTGTGAAAGGTTTGATTCAAACCTCAGCTGGCCCAAATAAACAAACTTGGGTTGGAGGCACTGATGCAGTCAAGGTGAGTGACTTAACAATAGACTTTGAGCACTTTATAGTGAATGTACAGTATTCTGCTTATTTGGTACTGATGGCTGTGTTGGGATGCCAGGATATATTTCACTTGTCACCTCCTGTGGTAAAAATGTTCTGAGGTGAATTGATTCCAATTCTTGTTGTTCCAGGAGGGTGTGTGGCTGTGGAGTGATGGTTCCAAATTTGATTTCACGTTCTGGGGACCAAGGCAGCCTGACAATGCCGGTAGAAGTGAAGATTGTATGGCGCTGGTCAATAAGGGTATATGATCTATTGTCATTCATTTGGATTGATTGCAACAGAGGAAAGAACATGGGGGTTGTTCTTTTTGTAATGAATGATGTTGGTTTATTTATGGATTTGCAATGGGCATTTTCTGACTTTTCTCTGGCCAGTCATTTCAAGCTGGTATTTGTAACTGACAGTGGGCCAACTATCATACACACTATACCACCTTTGCTTGATCCTCTTATATACTCTTTAAAGACAGCAGAAGTGCTGAACTCTATTAAGAAAATTTGCAAGAACAATGGGATTAGCGGCATAAAGCTTTCCAAAAAGTGACCTATTTGTCACTGTTGTATTGACACATCAGGATGTATTAAAATACTGTGTATTATATGTGTTTACTATGTGTTTTTTTTTTTTTTTTGTTTCTTTCTATTAGGTTTTGCCAATGACATGCCCTGGACCCAGAAAAAATTATGTTTGTGGCAGAGTCCTGTGGGGACGTCGCACACCTGCTAGTGATGGCGGTTTCTTTTCAATTTAATAAACACTATTTTGAGCAGCAATATGTCTTTAATTACTACTTTATCATCACTTGTTGAGAAGCAGTAAAGTAGTTGCAAGTACATATTGCCAAAGAAGCAGTTTTGTTACATCCTTGAAGACTGCCCCCTCAATGCTACATGTGATCGTGGCTGCAGTAAAATATCTGCACATCTTGTAAACTGTGAAATTTAGGTCAGCGCTGGCCTTAATTGGTTGTCTAAGTTTGTGGGGAAATTTCCCTAAACCACTAGGAGCTAGGGATGGTGATGATTGATACAGGCTTTGACCGTATTCAAAAAAAAAAAA